TTCTTCACAACTCGCATCGATGCAGCGGCAGTATGCGCTGTGGCCCCATCTTGTTGGAAGTAAACATTTTTCACGTTTATTCCTCGCCTCCAAAGTTGTGGCTTGAGATATGTTTCCAACATGTGAACATAGCGTGCAGAATTCACTGTCACTGTGACTCCATTTTCCTCAAAAAAATATGGACCAATTATCCCAAAGTGGCCTACAGCACACCAAACCGTTACTTTTGGAGAGTGGAGTGGTTTTTCATGAAAGTTACATGGATTTTCAGGAGCCCAATATCGTAAGTTTTGTTTGTTCACTGAACCGTTTAAGTGGAAGTGAGCTTCGTCGCTCATTAACATCATTACATCAGGATTATCAGAAACAACACCTGCATACGTACTGCAAAATCTTCTCTTTGTCCATAGTCCCTCTCTTTCAGTTGCTGTACCACCTGTATTTTGTAGGGATGAAATTTCAAATCTGATTTTAAAATTATTCTGACTGACAGAATCGCGTTTCATGCGTAGCTCTTGTGCGTGTCTTCGTGCAGAGCGACCCGGGCTCCTCATCAAAGCAGTTCTCACTGTGGCGATGTTGTCTGGTGTTCTCGTTGTTCTTGCTGGACCGGGTGGCTTTTTCTTTGATACTGTTCCTGTTGTTCTGAACTTGTGCACCCATCTTAGCAATGTATTCCGGCTTGGAACCGTGTCATTTCGCGCAATATTAAAGTGGCGTCGGAAGATACGCTGTGTTTTGATAACGGATTCGCCATTTTTAATAAATGTGTCATATGCAAAAACACGATGCTGAACTGACCACTGATCCATCGTGACTAAAATGGTAAAGCTCACTCAAAACAATGACATAACCTCAATCTCCCTAGCACGTGTAGCAACAATGTAACAGCTGTTGCAAATTCGTCCGGTTCCCGGCAGTCACCCTGTATTTAGACACGTAATCACTAGTCTCAAATCAAAACGAGAACAGTCGTTTCAGTACCGCCCACTTCCTGCCAATCTAGTCCGGTTAAACCGATGTGCTGATAAAAATTATCCGGATAAAGAGATGTCACTTCTACCGAGTGTAGTCCGGTCAAACCGATGTCCGGTTAAAAGGTGTCCGGATAAGAGGGAGTTTACTGTATATTGAACATTAAAGTTTGCAGTCATTTGATGCATCACTAATCTATCCAAACATTATGAGTATCTACACCTGGAAAGCTGTATGGCAAACTACTCGGGAACAAGGGAGTGTGACGGGGTGAAACAAATTTTCAAGAGATCTGTTCTGCACTGTACGTTATGTAGACTACCTTGGGGATGGAGATTCCCATGCCTTCAAGACTGTTTCAGAATCAAAGCCCTCTGGAGACCAAGTTGAAATCAAGAAATTAGAGTGTATCAGGCATATCCAAAAGAGAACTGGTTTGGTACGCGATTAGGCGAATTGAAAAATTTAAAAGACCATCCTAGTCGATGGTAAATCGTTGTTGGGGAAAGGCAGTATAAAAAATCCAGCTATAGATAATTTACAACTGTTTTACGTTTAGAAATCAGAAGGAATTGCCACAGCCTAACTTATATGAAATCCGCTGTATGGACGACTTATTACCATGTTATGTTGAGTAATGAAATCCTCACACGATTTGTGCCCTAAAGAACCTCACACCTGGTGCATATTTACTATTGCATTGATAGAAGGTAAGGAGTATGATCAAGATAAACACTTCCATCTCCCAGAAATTGTTATGGAAAAGCCTATTTTCGAATTTCTATCGAACTCAGAGTTATTGCATGAATGCTTGGCCGGGAAAGTAAAAAACCCAAACAAGTCGTCAATAATATAATTTGGGCAAGAATCCCTAAAAGAAGATTTGTTGGCCATAATACCCTCAAATCTGGAGCTTATGATGCTGTTTTGTCATTAAATGATGGATACCTATTCCAATAAGTGTAGAGTTATTGAGCATCTAGGACTGAGAGCAGGGAAACATTTCATCATCGCCATGCAACACTTAAATAAGGAACGTATAAAAAATGTGAAAAGCCGCTGATTTTTAGATTTTATTGATTTTCCGAAAACGCACATTTTTAGACTTTGATGTTGGATATGTAAACAAATAATAGAGGTAGAGCCATGAAATTTACAGGATGTCTTATTTATACTAAACCCCCCCCTGAAAGGATATTTCCCTGTGGAAGGATATTTTAATTATTGCTTTGGTCGCTTGGATAAAAATTCTTTTTTTCCTGTAGGAAAAAAACTGTTAAAGGAAAAAACTGTTTAAAAATTAAATAGGTCTTGAATCAAAATATTTACCCACCAGGAATTCACTAAGAGACCCCTCTTTAAAATAAAAAAATAAACCGAAACTCTAGGTCTGTTAGATCAGGTGCAACAAGCTATAACTATTAATTACTATTGTTATCTAATGGAGTTCAGACTCCCACCTTTTTTAGAGAAATTGGCAAGATACATATGATTTATTGAGTTTCTAATTAAAACTAGCTTTAAGCCATGTTCTGAGAAGACTGCGAGAGGAATTATTTGTCTGAAGGCATGTGTTCTATTAGGTCATGGTCGTAGCATTATATTTTGATATTTGTAAAACTCAAAAGGCAAGTTGTTGAGCTTATTCCAATGTTGGCAAAATTAATTACCGTCAATGGCTATGTTGAGGTTTGACCACAAATATCGTTAATATAATCACGTACAAACTTGTTTTGACAAACAGAAATAGGTTTAAAGAAATTGCCAAGTGTAGGCCTACATTTATTAATTTTTCTCAGCTGATTTCAACAATAACCTCCTCAACAAAGTAGGTCATTGAAAATTACCCATAACTCTGACAGTGGCAGAATGAAACAAGGTGGAGCAGCTAAATAGTGTATTGTTCCTGGAGCCAGAGTTTGTAGTTGGTGAACTAAGCGGAAACTCCAGTAAACAAGCTTGACCTACACTCGGCTCTCTAGAACCTTGTGCTGTGTAAACAACAATTATGTGGTATTAAGATTTTCATTAAATTGTATATGAGTAAATAAAAAAAGCCAGGGACAACCGTTTTTTAATTTGTTGTTTTCTTTTTCACAACAAATGAAAAGAGCCAAAAAATACTACAAGTTTGGAACTAATTTTGATTCAATTATTTTGGATTTGTAATTGGAAATTGTTTTGGAATTTTACACCATTTTAATTGGGTCTTATTTTACTATTTAAACCTCCTAGCCACCACTGAAGATGAGTGATCTGTCACTTGAAACATGCTGGAAAAAACAGTACAATATCAAGTAAGGTTAAAGTATCATCTGTAATAAGGTTTTATAATTACTGTAATGTAATTTTGATGCTGAATATAACTTATACCAGAGCCCATTTTCTCTCGTATGATGGATTCCTTTTACCTCAGGAACTTGTCAGGTTCCTTATTGATTTGTTGATTGGCATTGAATATACCAAATACCAATAGTGATTAATTAATCATCCATGACACTTCTCTATTACTTGGTTGTCTGACTTTGAGGGAAGTGCTTTCTTAAGTAGTAAGATATGCCTGCCCGTTAGAATCAAGAGATAAACTTATGAAATATAAATACTGTAATCAAATTGCATGAACAAAAACATTTTTCATGGATTTCAGTATTGTGTGAAAGATGTGTTCTAAATCATTTACATTTCTCTTTTAGAATAGCTAACGTATGTAGAATTGCAATTAAGGCAATACTTCATGGAGTAAATTGAAACCCTTCCTTGGATACCAATAAAAATAATAAAGGTAGATTTAACCAAGCAAATAATGCCTGGACTAGTGTAAAAGTTCGAGCTATTTCCAATGAACCAAGGGTAATAGAAGATGCAAAGAAAAATGTTAAAGATAGTTGAACTTTAGATTTTTATACAGAGATTTGTCAAAGTTTTCACAAAGTCAACCAAAAGGCAGAAGTAAAACACAAGTGTGATTTTGTGTAAAATGATGACGAAGAAACTTGTGGCGTTAAATTAAAAACAATAAACCATCAGAAAGTTGTTCAGTGAAAAGCCCAGCAGTGATTCTAATGAATAACAAGAGCTGAAGCACAGGTCACCGAAATAAAATTTGGCTTCGACATTAACTATCAGCTGCTGCAATGTGAGACTAAGTGCAATAAAGTAAAAAAAAAAACACATCTTCTACATCACCTAAATAAACTGTTTCAAAACCTGTTCAAAATACGAGAGTTGTATCAATGCTTCACAAAAGAGCCAGAACTTTGTTCAACACCTATTTAGAATCTGTTTTTCTCATGCATATCAAGTTTTGGGATAACATTAAAATGGTTTTGAATGAGTTTGAAGCAGTGGCAGACATGTTAGAATCGTTTATAGCCAATATCAATCTCCGCAAATTCATACAAAATAAAACTGCTAAGAACAGAAGAAGAATACTTTCTCTATGTAACTTCAATCCATCTACTTAATGTGACAATGCTTCTTAACCAAACTCCTTGGCTATTATTTTAAGTTTTGTCTACAAGCCTGCAGAACATGACATGCTTAGTTTTCAGCTGTTTTTATTGAGTTATGTTCCCATATTATAGTTATTTATAATGTATATCGTAACGATAGTTGCATTTTATGGAACTGCTAATTTATCATTGCATGTCACTTCTTGCATTTCTTTCATATATTGGCAATTTTCTGTTGGGAGTCAATTAATAAATGTATAGCTAGAATTGTGGTCTTCTATTATCCAGGAAGAAAAATGTATAGCTAGTTGTAAATAAAAGTTTTGTCAGTTGTAATAAATATTTAAAAAATTCTTAAGTATAATCTATAGAAAAATATAGATCCTGTAAACCAAGCGACTGATTGGGTTTGTTGGACAAGCAAATGAGTCAAGCTTACACCCTTTTTCAGGTGAATGCCACAAGAAAATATAATGCTGTCATAGACTTTGAATTTCAGATTGAGTCACAAACACCAACACCATAAATAGCAGGAACCAAGGTTATGAAGAGCAAGTAAAATGTACAACTCACCGATTTGAGATATGATGCTGTCAGGTTTGTCAGTGCTGGAGGCCCAGACCGAGGCCTGGTCGCAACCGGTGGCAGAGCGTGTGGACACGCGACAACACGTCCAGCGTTTGCCGTTCCACAACCCTACGTGATACCTGTCACTCAGACAACCGTTGTCACAGCACACTGCAACAAACAAGCAACATTATTGAGGATGCAACAAAATTTAAGTATGTCCAAACTGATGGTTGGTTTCATTCCAGACAAAGTATTGTTTTACAAGATGAATAAGCTTTATTCTTTTATAATGCATCATATCCGTATTAACATTTATTACGAATAAGAGGGCAGAGAAGAAATCAGGGCTACTGATACAGATTGACTACTACAAAAACACTGTTACTTTGTACGTTTTTAGACAAAAACGTTTATAACTCAATGTAAATGTGTATAAATTAGTGATTTATTATTGGCATCAACAAAAACCACATAAAAGGAACCTTCTAATGACCCTCTGTGGTGCCTATGCAAAGGTCAGATAGTCATAGGTGAGCAAAAACATGAGTCACAAAAGCAATTAACTCATTTACAGTAATGCAGAAACAATATAACCAAAACACAAAGTGATTAGGGAGATGATTAGTCAGGAAGTCAGGTGAGCTGCATCTAGGGTCACAATTATTGATTAGTGAAACGGAAAGTCGGGTGAGCTGCATCTAGGGTCACAATTGATTAGGGAAACGGAAGTCAGGTGAGCAGCAGCTAGGGTCACAATTGATTAGGGAAACGGAAGTCAGGTGAGCAGCAGCTAGGGTCACAATTGATTAGGGAAACAGAAGTCAGGTGAGCAGCAGCTAGGGTCACAATTGATTAGGGAAACGGAAGTCAGGTGAGCAGCAGCTAGGGTCACAATTGATTACGGAAACAGAAGTCAGGTGAGCAGCAGCTAGGGTCACAATTGAATAGGGAAACAGAAGTCAGGTGAGCAGCAGCTAGGGTCATAAGTGATTAGGGAAACAGAAGTCAGGTGAGCAGCAGCTAGGGTCACAATTGATTAGGGAAACGGAAGTCAGGTGAGCAGCAGCTAGGGTCACAATTGATTACGGAAACAGAAGTCAGGTGAGCAGCAGCTAGGGTCACAATTGAATAGGGAAACAGAAGTCAGGTGAGCAGCAGCTAGGGTCATAAGTGATTAGGGAAACAGAAGTCAGGTGAGCAGCAGCTAGGGTCATAAGTGATTAGGGAAACGGAAGTCAGGTGAGCTGCATCTAGGGTCACAATTGATTAGGGAAACGGAAGTCAGGTGAGCAGCAGCTAGGGTCACAATTGATTAGGGAAACAGAAGTCAGGTGAGCAGCAGCTAGGGTCATAGGTGATTAGGGAAACGGAAGTCAGGTGAGCTGCATCTAGGGTCACAATTGATTAGGGAAACGGAAGTCAGGTGAGCTGCATCTAGGGTCACAATTGATTAGGGAAACGGAAGTTGGGTGAGCAGCTGCATCTAGGATCACAATTGATTAGGGAAACGGAAGTTGGGTGAGCTGCATCTAGGGTCAGAATTGATTAGGGAAACGTCACAATTGATTAGGGAAACGGAAGTTGGGTGAGCAGCTGCATCTAGGGGTCACAATTGGTTAGAGAAACTGAAGTCATGTGAGCTGCATCTAGGGTCACAATTGATTAGGGAAACGGATGTCATGTGAGCTGCATCTAGGGTCACAATTGATTAGGGAAACGGAAGTCGGGTGAGCTGCATCTAGGGGTCACAATTGGTTAGAGAAACTGAAGTCATGTGAGCTGCATCTAGGGTCACAATTGATTAGGGAAACGGATGTCATGTGAGCTAGGGTCATAAGTGATTAGAGAGAAAGAAGACACATGAACTGCTAATAGGGTCAGAAGTTATTATGCTAGTACACTAATCGCCGAATATAGGCGAGCACGATCGTGTATCCGGTCTACTTGCGTACACTTGGGATAGTTCGCATCTCCATGTTTCGTGCTCGCCTGTGCTCCACTTTCTGTCGGTTTTTGGGACCAGTCAAAGGAAATGAGCAAAGGCAAGTGCAAGTTAAAATATCAGTAACCACCAGCAAGCATGTTTGGCAAACATGGGCGAGCATGTACTGGGTGAGCTGGTGGTTTACTTTCGGCAGCATTTGTCGTTGCAAATCGAGTAAAAATGTTTGCAAAACATTCGGCGATAGTGTAAATTAGGAAGACGGAAATCAGGTGAGCTCCAGCTTGAGTCAGAAAGTCACGTGAACTGCTGATAGGGTCAGAAATGAAAGAAGGGATGTTCTAAGAAGTTAGTTAGTTTACTCAAGGTTGGATAGGAGGGGGTTTACTGAACGGTAATAGCTAATTACCCTATCGGTGAAATTAACTAAAAATCAAAATATTGAACAATTATCTATTATCTGTTACTGACCAGAGCGCAAAGCATTGATCCAGTCATCTCTGTCTTGGTCTCTAGCAGCAACAAGATAGAGTGTGTACTCCTGGCCTTGGTCTTTGTATCCCACCTGTGACAGCAACAATAGTGTGATTAGTGATCAAAGTAATGTCAATATTACAACAGAACTTCCCTAGAAGTAAAGCAATATCTATAAAATATACTGAAAAAGTATTCAAAAGGGCCATTCCATGTCAAGTCATCCGGGGGTTGTCACCCACTAGTCACACATTTTCATGAAAATTTGTACACATAAATTAGACATTTAGATAGGATAAAATCCAAAATTTCAGTTCATTATGTCAAACGGTTTCAGAGATATGGCTATTTGAAGTTTTGAGCGAATTTAGTTTCCGAGGTCCAATTTGATGCTAAGGGAGCGTGCATGTATTCTCGTCTTTCTATGTAGAATGGACAATTATTAAGCTAGAGGCCTCAAATTTGACTCATATATCCAAAATTTAATGCAGAATCATATAATACAATTAAAATGATAACTATTACCTATTATCACCTAAAAAAAATTCCTAAATACAAATAATTCGATTTTTCCGAAATTGGAACATCCAGTTACAAAAGGTTTGATAACAAAAATCTCTCTCCAGATAAACCTATAAAACCATATATCACTGGAAAGAGGATAAAATTATCTTTCAAATGGTATAATAACATGAGTGGGGTTTTGAGTATTAACATTGTTATTACACGTGAAAGTCAAAAACTAAATTTGATTAAGCTAAAAATTTCATTTGATGCCGAATATGTATGATGAACTTAAATAATACAAAAAGTTCATCAATTTAATACATGTCTGTACAAATGACTAGAAATCTAAAAATATGAAACAAAATATTGGGTCCTTAAGTTGTTATTTTTGTATGAATTAAATTTTTACTTATAAAAAGCCCTAACTAAATCGTCCTATATCCTACATTACTTTTACCTAAATAAAGGCTTATTATAGCTTGACAAGAAATTACAATTACATTTAATGCAAAATTTATAAGTTTACCACTCTCAATAACAAATAAAAAAATATGTATTTTTAATTTTTATAGATCAAACTTCAATATTAAATTATGTGTTAAAAATAAAATGTTATGACATATTTAATACACTATCAATGTTTGTAACCATAGTTTATACCAGTGAATGTGACCAGTGTCTGTGTGTATTGGTGTGTTTGTGTTTAAAATTATCTTTCAAATGTTAAAATACTGCTTCCATAAGGATTACATTGAAACTTTGAGACCCAGTGGGGCGGATTCCTGAGAGACTTTTTTAACGCCATATAGATGTTGGCACTCACCGATATGGTCTTTATCACCATACAAAATTTGAAAACGATTGGTTCAACCGTCTAGGAGGAGTTTGCGTATTACGAAATGCATAAGAGTCGACGTATAAGAGCTTCGCTCAATTATCTTTCAAATGTTATAAAAATAAAGAGTGGGGTTTGGAGTATTAACATTTTTATTACACGTCAAAGTCAAAAGAAAACAACTTGATTTAAACGTAAAACAAAACCAAATACATCCTGTTTTTGTAGTAAATTTATAGTAATTTTTTTGTAAACTCTTTGTCAATATCTTCGTCACTATCATGAAAACCTTCTCTAAAGAAATTACTCTTAAATCTTTGTCAAGGATACCACATGTTTTTAAATGGGTCACATCATGATTTTTTTTAATATTTCAAAAAGTAACAAAAATGACGAGAACAAATTGAATCATTTTTATTATATTCATTATTTGTGTGCCACTTAATGTTTCTAGTTCTTCATTTGAAAGATTTTCAAAAATAAAATGAACTTTTTTTTCTTGTGTTAAAGTAAAATTTTCACATGGAGAGTCTGACAGTTTATCTACTGTACAAATCAAATTAATTCTCGCTTGACTTGGTGCAGCAATACCTTCCATGATAAACATTTTTTAACATTTAACCGGCAATGGGGTGAAGAAGTATATGGGACTGTTCACATATGCACGGCATTTGTCGTGGTCAGTTAATCACTTGCCCAGCTGCCGTGTACAAGTCGAGGGATGCCGGGCACCCCCTCGGCGAAGGCTGGCTGCCGGTAGCGGGTATACAAGCCGGCTGGAGTAGTGGGTGTAGCGGCCCAATGTGAATGTTCACAGATAACCGGGGGGCGATGTCTACTTGTACCGGCGTCTAGTTGTACCTGCTGCATTTTGGTGACAGGCGTCTAGTTGTATCCCGTCCAAAGCTGTAGAGACAACTTGACGATGGTGCGGACGTCTAGTTGTCTCTACGTCTAGTTGTCTCTACGTCTAGTTGTACCTCTTAAAAATCTACAGGTACAACTAGTCGGGAACGTCACCGTCTACTTGTACCTCATACGTCTGCGTCTACTTGTACCTACGACTACTTGTACCTACGACTACTTGTACCTACGACTAGTTGTACCTACGCCTACTTGTACCTACGTCTAGTTGTACCTGCGGCTAGTTGTATCTCCCCTTCAACTTGTCACCGGTTTAAGAGATTTATTTTATTTCTTTAAAAATCATACAATCTTACAACAATTTATTATAAACAACTTGCTACAAAAGCCAGGAAAAATTTGGCTTGTCTGCAGCTCATTGAGAACCCCCTGTTCTTGACAACAACGTACTTGTGTCCCTTGGTCAGTCCTTATCCATATTACACTTTGGTTTTCCTTATTTCTTGTCAAGATCTGCTATCATTGTTTTTTCCACTTAAACTCTACCTTTCTATAGAAAACTAACATTAACTAGCTTAAACAACAACTTTAAACAATTATCTTAAATAAATAAATTCAGAGTTTACAAAAACAAGTAATTGAGTATAATAAAGTGTTTTTGTACGGTATTAGTCACGGAGAATATTACAACAAGTTCAAATTAAAAATGTATATGTTATTCTTATGGATATTAGGCCTCGAGGTACAAGTAGACGGAGGGACAACAAGACGCGGTCCCATTGATAACACATATAAAAATAAGTCACATAATAAGGAAAAGTAATGTAAAGGTATATCTTATAAAAATAAATTAGATTAAAAAAATAAATATAGCGTATTCCAAATACACATTAGTATATAGTATACACATTCACAATTCAACAAAGCTGGTTTGAAAACTAAATAGGCATATAATATTGCGCATAACCGAACCAGTCGCTAAAAAGTCCCTAAAAAGCTCAAATACAAAACAAATTATTATAATATTTAAACAAACTCAGAATCAAATTATCTATGTCAGGTTAGAAATCCCAGTACAATATATATTTTGTACAAAAACAGTTTGTTATTAGTCTTTCTTTGCTTTTGTTGACGTTATTTTTAATAAATAATTTATATTACTCCAGAGGTTTAACTCTACTACTAAAGGCAGCAAACATGTTTGTGAATAAATATTGGTTTACTAAGGTAGCTTTGGTCTTGTGTTTGATGATAATGATAATAAAAAGGCTTCCCTGATTGAAAGATTGGAAATCGTCTTCGTCAAAAATGAAAAGGCAAATAAAGGTGTGTTGAGATAAGCTTAGTTCTTGGTCAAAACCGCTAAATTAGCATCCCTACGAAGTTATTATTTCTACGTTTATGCTCCTTATTTTGGAAAGGTTTAACAAAATTAGTGTAAAGTAAAAGCATCCCATTGACCAAACGTATCGCTAGATTTGTTTCTGATCAACATAAAAACTACTATTAGCCTAGTGTAAGATTATGTGGTGGTATTCCTCCTAAAGGTGCGATTGATTTTAAATATTCTATCAAAAAGGGGTCTATTCAACGGCTGATTCCTAACTATTTTGCGACTGGTTAGGTTTCCATTACCCAGTTAAAAAACAATTAATTACTTTTCATCGGAATCTTCGACATGCATATTTTTGGTTGGTTTTAAGAAACGGAAACTACCTCTAGGTTTTACTGTTATATATGGATGCTTCCTTTACCACCGTACATGCTGGGCTATATTATTTGAACCTTTTTTGCAGTACCTGGTTAAAATCTCCTCTAAAAAATTATGTGTTTCCGCCCATTGGAACTTGTCATAGTACTTACTTGATGATTAATGAACAAATATATTGCCTGTCCTGAACGAACCTATTTCATCTTTATTCCCAGGTTGATTTCCAAGAGTGGCCGTCGAGGTTTATCCCTTTATACAATAATTGATTAAACACCACAATAAATTAATCTAAAATTAAAATTGGTAAAATAAAATATAAAAAAATTGAATAAATCTTGAACATATGTTTTGAAATTAAAACAAAGCAAAAGTTTTCCATTAAATCCTGAATCGTTTATTTTTTAGTCAATGTGGTTATTTCATGTTAAACATTCCTTCAACACAAAAATAACCTTCAAGTTATGAGAAAAAACTTCATTATTTTTTTCAGACATTCTAAGTTAAATTCCTTTGATTTGAGCCATCTCCGATGATTCAACTACTTATCACGTGTTTAACTAATTTACAAAAAAATACACAAGTTTGTAAATTGCACAGTTAAATAATGATTTCAACATTGTAAGACTAACTAAAAAGTCTGAATTATTATAAGTAAGGTTATTCGTGGTTTTATATTGTGTACAGTAGGCTACATTGCAGAATTGGCTGGCAAATAAGTAGTCCAAAGGTAATATATTTAATTATTACTAGAGGTTAAAATACCTTATAATCCGTCAGTGTGATCAAAAAGTCACACTGACGTATTATAAGGTATTTTAACCTCTAGTAATAATTTAGATATTGTGGGAGGAAAAAACAACAAAAATGAAGTAACATATTGCTTACTGGCTTGATGATAAATCACAATCAGCTGTATTGAAGTAAACAAAAATCAGCAGCAAATGACTTCCAATGCTATTCTTATGGAGAATATTTTACGTTATATCTAATTTTGTGTTAACATTTCACTATTTTTCCCGCCGTCACGGGGTCAAGACCTTTAATTTGAGCCCTCTCCCGTCGTTCTACGATTTCCCAGTCTCTCACCACAATTTTGACGCAAAGAATCGGCTTACGTAATTAATATATAGATAGAATAGATAGAGTGTAGATGTAACAGTTGCTCATACATTAC